GGAATGCAGTGGAGAACTTGTTGTTTTCACTATGTGTTAATCACTATAGTCATTAACACACATTATTAGAGATTCCCTGCTACACCTTTTTTACCCAGCAGTGTGTAGAGGTTTTTCTTCCAGCACAGAGACTTTATGACTGACTGACTTTGATACCTTGAGGCAAACACTTGGCAAAAGTTATTGATAATAACATAGTACATATCAGTTGTAGATGTCTGCAGCCTATTTTAAAACAAAGGAGATGTACAGAAAAATGTCAAAGCTCAAACCGAGGACCCAGTATTCAAGGCAAGACAGACTTTGAGATTACTCAAAAGATTTTATTAAAAAACGTCAGATTTGGAATAACAGCAACTAGGGTATTTAAGGCAGGAATCTCTGCAGAAAGGAAACACAGGTTAGTGACCACGTAAATCTGGCGGAGGAAAATTATGAACATTAGCCGTTAACCTGGTTAAATAGTTTAGTCCGTGCCCAGAGAATGCGGTAGGATCCAGCCGGTGAGCTGCCAACAAGATGCGGCAGATGCTACAGACCTGGAGGACGGAGAACAAGTAGGAGACAAGATCTGGGCAGACGAAGGGCAGGATAGGATAATCCAGAGGATGAAGCCTAAGCAGGGGTTGAGGATGTGCTCAGGATTCAGAAACAGAAGATCAGAAGTCTGAAGAGGTGTCAGGAAGCAGTTCCATGTTCGGTAAACGGGCAGAATCCAGCAGGAGTCCGAAGACGGGTCAAGCAAAAAGATGAGACAGAAACAGGCAGGCTTCAGAGGTCCAGAGTTAGAACGGATCAGGAGATCACAACACAATCAGTTACGCTAGAGAACTCTCAACAAAGGCTCGAGAATAATCTAGAACTCATGACTGGCTATTGGAGTGGTTAAATAGAGGCAAGAGCAGGTGTATCAGATTAACAGTAGCAAGAAACTGGAGGAGGTTAGACAGGTGAATAAAATAAATAATTAAGCCAGTTATCAGTGCCAAGTTCCTGACAAACAATTATAGAATTGTCTATAAACACATCGTCTACAAATAGTGATGTGTCAGCTCTTGCTCTAATTCATTCATATTATCAACATACTATCAGATCTAACTTCTTCAAGAATTTTTACATTTTTCCTAGAAGATTAATAATCTTTTAAAACAAAGGTGGCAGAATTGTTGTAGTCTATAATTCTCTGATACTGACTCACTTGGATTTGCTCTCTCTTTTTGTTGTTTTACCAAAGCATCTTTTAGTCCTACATCACAGAGTCATCTCTGACTCTCCTGTGACAGGTAGTCAATAAAAAAAAAACCATCCTCCTACAGGAGTGCAGTGGAAAACAAAGGAGTTAAAGATGTTCCACAAATAGAACAGCTGTGAGCTTTTTCTGTCGCTGTTAGAAGCTGCTGAGTCACTTTGAAATCTCTGTGTGGCAATAAATATTGTCTTATCCAGTGTGAAAATTCTAAACTTCATTGTCACAAAGCAGAATGCATTGGGGGAGTAACCTGATGAGACAATAGAAAACAGATTTTTTTTTTTTTTATCTTGTATGGGAAAAAGACAAAAAGTAGAGTCTACAAGGTCTTACTACAGAACGGGCCACATATTTACTATATTCTTTCCTTTAGGCGCTGATGGCTTTATCCTAATTTATAAGGCTGTAGACATAACACTGTGGGGATAACTGTGTCTGAAAAGATAAAAAAAATGAATTGGACTGTGCACCTGTTGGTAAAGCCCTAGCTCCTTATTTATGTGAAGTATAAATCAATTTTTGTTGATTGTAGTGAGATCATGTTTATTTTTATTTTTTTCTATGAACTTCAGATCATCTACTTGGAGGTTGTTCGATCATCATTTCATTAGCCCGGCTCAATGTGAGAAGGGATGTTTAACAGGGTCAGATAAAGGAAACAAGTTTAAGCATTAACAGAATTTATTCTTATTTGCTGATTTTTTCCCCCACATCATTGGGGTGTCAGCTTCCCAGAGCTGAAGCTCCTCCTATTTGATAAAGGTCCAGAGTGTAAACACTGTGCATCTGAAATGCAGAGCAGTGAACTACCTGTGAGGCTCATGGAAATCACTACCTTCACCGCCTCCTGTGCGAACGCACTATTAGGGTGCTCCTGTTGTGTTTTTGCATTCTGACTTTTGTATTTTTTTATTGTTTGAACATTTTCTTGTGAACCTTTAAGTGTGTTCATTTGTATCTGGTAAACTTAAGGATATGATTGTACTACATTAAACACTTAATTTTGAAGTGGATAATATTTTATAATATTTATAAACTTTTTTCTCAAATTTTCACAATGTTGTCAGTGTTTACAAAAGTTTTTGTAAACTCCAAATACTTTTTTTCTGCTTTGAAATAGATTTTTTTTTCACCTTTTTTACATCAAATTTTTCATGGATGGAGCTTGTATTCAGAAAAAAAAGTAAAAACAAACAAACATTTTTCTGTTTGTTAATTGCACTTTTTAGGATTCTTTTTAGGTGAAATAAACTTATTTCACACTTGGAATGCAAGAGTAGTAATGTTGTCATGCACATCATAATGCTTCAGAAAATGGCAGTATGTATTGCCAAGGCATTGCCACATTGCCAGACAGGACAGGAAGGAGTAGCAGCACCATTACATTAGCAGAGAATATGAACCAAAGGGTTTTGTGAGATGTTCATAAATACATTGCCTGTATTTGCACCTGAAAAAGCCAGGTCCATTGCTGGAGAAGAAGTGTGCTGATGCTTTAAAGTCATCTCTACATAGTCATCTGCTGGCTGTTCCTGTGCTGCAGAAAAAAACAAAACAAAAAAACATTGGAATTCAAATTGAACTTTGCATGATCTTGAAAAACGATTTATTTTGGTTTGTGGTGAACAACACATTGGGGCAGCACCGACCACAAAGAAATTAATTGGATAAAATTATTATGATAATTATTTTGATGGTTTTTATTTAATTTTTTGACCATAACAAAAATGAGCTTCAATGAAACAAACAAAACAAAAACAAAAAGAATAGAAAATGGCAGCATGTAACAATATATACGCTTGTTCTGTGGTAGGTCATAAATGGTGAAAAAACATGCTTTTGAAAAAAATGTCCCCAATTTAGCTGCATAGAAAATGCAAGGGAGAGACAATGCATGCACTTTAGATGATCGCAGAGCATGGCTGCTAAATGAACCAATGAAAGGGTCAACACATGGACCTATAGGCCAAAACAGATAGAGAAATGTTGGCAAGCCGATGGTCAATCTCTAAATTAAAGAGGTGTTTGCAAATATAAAAAGATCAGGAGAAAAGACACATCTGATCCTACTGCAAACTCCTCAAGCATCTGTTTGTTCAAGTTCTATTCTGCAAGAAGCTCTTGGATTATCCTTTATTTTCAATTCAATCACTTTCAGCTCCTCTATATCTGCATCTTCTCCCTTCATGCTCTCCTGCTCACCTGCCACTGTACAACACTAATCCCCTGGACACTACAAAGCCCTTCGCCTCCAAGCTGGATTGAAACCTCCCTCTCTGATCTACTTCATTCTGCAGGATGGATGGATGATCCTCTTATTATTTGCTATACCTATCCAGATCTAGAAAATACTAAAATTCCATACTTACAAACTGTAACTTGTAGAAATCCTCTTTCTGTTGTGCAATCAGGATTTTCTTTTTATCATTTAATTAACTCAGCTGCATGGCTTTAGGCCTAACTTGAACAAATAATAATAATAATAATACTAAAAATCCTATTGTGTCTCTATCATTTGTTTTTTATCTAAGGTATTCCAGCAACAATTATGTGAAGTAATTTTTTTTACAGCTTCATTGAACAATAAATCAGAGGTTGTTTGTTTTATTTGGCAGCCATCTTTGCAAATACCTGGCTGTTACTCCTAGCTTTAGAAAGATGGGTTGGGCAAATTAAACCACAATAAAATTTTAATGATCACATTTGTGGTTCTAGATTGAGTTAATGTAAGATGATGAGTAGTTATAACAATTAAACTAATAGATTTTAAATATCGTGTTTGGGGTTCTAAATTATCTTATTATGGTTACTGAAAAAAATACAGTAAATCCCCTAAGGTTATGATTATCCCTGTTAGGGGTTTTTCTATATATATATATATAAAAAAAAAAAAAAAAAAAAAAAAAAAAATTGCTGTTTTCATTTCGTTATTTTATGAGGTGGTTGTATGGAGGACCAATCCTGCCATAATTAAAAATAAATACAGAAATAAATAAATGCTCAAAAAAAAAAGAAAAAAAAAAAGCTTACAATGAATTGCCCCCCAAAAATGCAATAAACAAATAAATGTAGATAGAAATTAAATTGTACAGTGAGACATAAATATATATATATATATCTTTTAATTAGCTTCTTTGTTAATTTGCCTTTGTAATAATTACATTATTTATTGTCCATTATAATCTACAACTTTATTTATTTATTACTTATTTCTTTAAGTATTTATTTATGTTCATGTTATAATATTTTTGTCTATGTTATTTATTTCTGTATGTAATTTTAATTATGAAAGGATTTGTCCTCCATAGTTTGGGGCAGAAATCTTTTGCCGCAAAATCCTAGAAAAAACATGATAGAACAGGTAATACATATTTAACATGCGCTTGCAGCAAATGATTTAACGAGGCTGAGGAAAGTTTTTTAATGCCATCCAAAGTTTGCGAGACAAGCTGCTGCTTGGAAAGGCTGTCGTCACATGTGGGCGGGTCCATCATACCTGTTGGTGTGACACCTGTCCTGTCAGCCAGGGAGACCTGTCACTCTCACTATCAGCTGGGTGACTTCTGCTTTCTGTAAAATTAATGGCCGAGTGTTAAAACGTATTACTTTAAGGAAGGACCGAATATGTTTGCATGTTCTGACATGACCTAATCCCTAAATGCCAAGGATGCTTTGGAGAACTTTACAAAAAGTCTGACGAGTAGAAGAACTCTGGACTTTAAAGTTTTTTTTTTTTTTTTTTTTTTTTTTTTTTTTTTTTTTTTTTTTTTTAGAACCGTTTCTGTTATTTTGGGATTAAAGCAATGGCTCTATCCCAGATCCAGTGCATGGATGAGAACCATGTAAACCCGCGGATCCATGAGTCCAAAGCAGAGTTCTTCTACTGTGAGGAGCAGCGTCTCGCGCTCGAAGTTCTCCTCCGGGATGGTCGCGAGGCTTTCCTGAAGTACCTGGAGTCTCGCGCCCTGCGGGGTTTCCTCTCCGACCTGGAGCAGGAGGCTCTGACCGCCGCTTTGGAGCCCTATGACCCGGACACGGAGCTTTTCTCCGGGGAGGCAGAGGACGAGCAGGAGCGGCTGTCGCTGGAGTACTGGCCGGAGGTCTCAGACATCTCCATCCCGCAGATGGACATGGGTTGGCCGGACAGCGAGTCCTACAGGGGGGTGACACGGACCTGCGTGTACACGCAGCCTCCCATGGAGGGTCAGGCTCACGTTAAAGAGGTGATCAGAAAGATGATTGCACAGGCGCAGAAGGTAAGAGCTTTACTGTCACTCTTAAACTTTTGAAACACGTCAGCAAATAGATGGATTAAAAGATAATAATATTTTTTTCTTATTAATTTAATTGTTTTATTGCATATAACATATATTTACACACGCCTGCTCTGTAAAGAAGAGCCGTTTTATTATATGGGTCATGTGGCTCTTTGCCCAGGGCGCATGACCTGAGGGTGTGACTAGGCAAAAAAAAAAATAAAAAAAAATGAAACCCTGATGCTATGTTCACACCAAAAGCAGCAGAAGCAGCAAAAACGTGCATGCTGCTTCATTTTTGATGCTTGTACAAGTTGGGTTCTGATGCAAAGCTGCTTCAGCTGCATGGTGGTAAAAGTGGATCTGATGCGCATTGGGCTCAGCTACCCTATCCTTTCTTTGTCTGTAACAATGGCAGCTATATTTGGTGTGATCAGTGGGAATAAAGTAGTTTTAATATGTTTTTAAGTGAGAAAGTCCACATTAAAACTTAATCTGTGCAGTCAGTTAATCCAGATTACCATCCTGCATTCAAATGTTATTTCGCTTTCGGAGCCGCTCAGACCCCAACATACGGGAGGAGCGCTGTCAGTAGGAATCCCGTTCAACAGCAGCCTCTGGCCCGGTCACCTCTATAACAGCCGCGTCGGCTGGATGGCGTTTTTCATGTCTGGAATCCAAACTTCAGTCACCAGGATAATAAAAGTGAACATGTTTTGCCAGCAGATTTAGACAATTTAAGTTCCTTTAGGCGTTAATAAACTGTTTTAGAGGACTGATCATAGTGATATGCATCAGGAGCACTATGTCTGTCTCCCTGCCAGCTCCCAGATCAGCTTCTCTGATTGGTTGATGTGGCTTGTCGAGCAGCAAAAGTTCTATTTTTTTAACTCCAGCAGCAGGTGCGTTTGCAGCGCGTCAGATGCTTAGATGCTTTTGGTCTGAACATAGCATGAAGCTACATTCAGACCGCAAGCTGCAGAAGCAGCTAATTTACATGCAAAGTCAATGGTCGACACGCATCAAGGTGCAGCAAAAGGTCCTGCAGTGTGTCTGAGCCGCTGAAGCAGCATGTCATGAGATTCTGAGCATCTGAGGTGCATGATGCTTTGGAAGCAGCAGCTGCTGGAGTTGGAAAAATTGAACTTTTGCTGCTCTTTGCGCTACATCAATCCAATCAGAGAAGCTGATCCGGGAGCTGGCAGGGAGACAGACACAGCGCTGCTGATGCAGATCGCTATGATCACTCCTCTGAAACAGTTTATTAATGCCTAAATTAACTTAAATGTCGAAACATGCCAGCAAAATATGTTAGATTTTATTATTCTGGTGCCTGCAGTTTGGATAATGTACATGAAAAAACGCCTTCCAGCCGCGAACAGTAGCGGAAAACCGCAAAGAAGCGACCGAGCTAGAAGCTTTCCAGTTGAATGGGATTCCCAGTGACAGAGCACCATCTGAGCAGCTGCGACATCAAAATAACATTTGAAGACAGGATTGTGATCTTGAACTGACTGGACAGTTGAAGTTTTCTAGTGGACTCTCTCACTTAAAAACATATTAAAACTATGTTTTACCCACTTAAAACAGCAAATATAGCAAAGCCACTTTCTTGAACACAGCAGCAGCAGAAGCATCAGACACACCTGGACACACTATACTGGACATCTGTCCTTAATGTGGACAAGCATCTAAAATAAAGCAGCATGCTGCTTCTGCTGCGTGCGGTCTGAACATAGCATGAGTTGTCAGTTGTTCCCCAAAATGTTTTTGCTACCATATTAAGGCTTTAAATATGGGAAAGTTAATACTTCCCTACAATGATGTGGAGAATGAAGGAAAATATAATTAAACACCATGATGATTCTTATGCATATGTGTGAATCACAGTATGCAAGTTAACCATCTTTTTGTTAATATGCAAAAAAAATGCATTTGCATTGGCTTTTCGGGCTTTAGGAATATGGAGGACTAACTCTGCCATAATTAAAAATACATACAGAAAAAAAATGAAGGACTTAATAATATAAGATTGCTTGAAAAAGAAGCTAATAATATAAATTTGTGTGCCAATAAATAAATAAATAAATAACCCATTGGCATGCACAAAAATGAAATAAAGACGAAAAACATGTAAGAGAAAATAAGTGGGTTAAAAATAAGTCGGAGTAAAAGGAAGAAGAAAAGTAAAAATAAAAGTGGAAGTTAAGATATATATATATTTTAGATAAATATTAATCAGTTGTTGAAGAAATATCTAATTTTTATTATTTTGTCGCATTTAAAGGAAGACAAATTCATATTATTAGCTACTTTTTCAAACAATTTTGTATTATTAAGTCCTTATGTATTTTTAATTATGGCAGAATTGGTCCTCCATATGACACATTAACACATTAGATCGCAGCATGGCAGCTTTGAAACTATCAGGAATAAAATGTCCTTTGGTTATAAATGTTTTACATCAAAGACTGGTTTATTCAATCTTCTTTCATCTACTTAAAATTGAGACATCTAGTTTACACAATCTCCCAGTTTTGGTACAATAAAGGGATTTTCTATTCTATGCTATTTAGTTTTTCAGTGTGTGAAAGACAAAATGTATCTTTTTTGTTTTCTTAATAAACTTGGTTATACAGTTGTTAGCATATCCAGTCTCTGTTTGACCAAACTATTCCGTCTGATTTTTTATTTAGGAACATTGTTCTTTTGTCTACTTTCATAGAAAGACTATAAGGAAAACCAGGTTCCCAACCTTCAAAATGGAACACAGCAACATAAATGACTGCAGCTGTCACATGAAACCAGGCATCAAAGTCCAAAGTGCACTGCAGACTAACCTACAGTCGGAAGTTAAATGCAGTTTGATTAAACCGCTTTATCAAAGAGGAGCTTCAGTCTAAAACTGTTTCCGCGACATTAAAGCATGCATGTCATACAGACTATTTGCATGAGCAGAGCACAGTCATGTGTATCATTGTGTGCTTGTGTAAGCTCATGCAGCTGACTCATCCAAGGCCTCACAGTTTATGACTTGTTTTATTTCAACGAAGCTGTTCTCTATGACAAATTATTTGAATAATGCATTCTGGGTCAATTTATCTGCATTTTTGAAAGTGGACAATCCTTTTAATAATATAAGATTTTTAAAATTGCTTACTAATCATATTCAGCTGATTTTTTTAACATCTTAATTTACTGTGCTGGATGTATGAGAGTAGTAAGGTTTTAAACCTGCTTATTTCTGAGAATGCTCCAAAGTGGGCTTTGATACTATAAATGCATAATTTAGTGCTTGAGCAGTTGGTGCACATGATGTAAGATTACCCATGGGTGGGTTTTAACAGTTGCACGCCCATTCGTTTGCATTTCCAGGTGATAGCAGTGGTGATGGATGTCTTCACTGACATCGACATCTTCAAAGACCTGCTAGACGCCGGGTTTAAAAGGAGGGTGTCTGTTTACATCCTGCTGGAACGCACAATGCTACCTCATTTCCTGTCAATGTGTCGGAGGGCCAACATGCATGCTGGGCACCTCAAGGTAAGCTGCTGTACCTCACCGCGCTCTTTGAGAGAGACTTGCATCAAACGGATGATTAAGAAATTTGCAACTTATTAGGAACTGGGAGAAAAGTATAAATTATGAGATAGGTGTGTCAGTTTGGTTTGGCAGTCTCACAGCTTTTAACGTCAAGGCTTCAATAAAGTGTTTCATATTATGAGACTTATCTCACTGTTGTTTCTGCTGGTTTCTTTCTCACACTGGATCATAAACACACACACACCCTCGTTCCAATAAATAATAAGACGTTGTCTTATTTGGCTGAAACTGTGTGTGTTCAAAGAGGGTGTGTTCATCTTAGGTGTCATGACAGTTGCTTCAATAATATAACGCATTAAACAGGTTATGGTAATATGAAGACGTGTAAAAGTTAGTGGGAAATATAATAGGCTCCATCTGATAAATGTACTGGGACAGATGTGCTTAGAATAAATTCATATGTTTTTTGCTGCAGCATAATATCGTCCTAAAAAAAAAAGAACCTTTTTAAATTGAATGAAATTGTTCATTGAAGATTATAGTCCACTGATGCCTCTTCTATCAGCAGCTTTTAGGATTCTGAGAACATTTCAATGACTTAAATTAACAAAATTCTTAAATTAATAATATAAAAAAACTTTTGAGAATTAGGGCAGTTTTCAATCGGATGCTAGTTTGGAATCCCTGGGGTCACTAAGATTCGCTATCTAAGATACTAACAGGTATATTAGTGGGGATATGTTTAATAAGTAAGTCAAAACAGTGGTGGATTTTATAGTCCTACTATTATAAAGGTACAACTGGGGTTTTCCAAATGCTGCTAGAATGCTTATTAAATCTGCTTGCTTGGGTCAAATTACACAGAGATTTAGCTTTTCTACACATCCATGTAGAGTTGGGAAAGAACCTCTTCCCAGGTGTGAAGCACAGCAGGTGATCTGTGGTGCTGTGGTATTGCTAGTCTCCTAAAGAAAGCTGATTCATATTGGGGGGATCAACTCTAACTAGAAAAGCACTCGAAGAGGACAGACTTCCGTCAAGCAGCAAATGTTACCCCATATTTTGAATTACATCCTATAGCTAAAATGGGAACAGGATCTGGATCATTACCAAATGTTCTGCCTTCACCTTCTTTATTCACTCTGCTTTCTTATTTGATCACCTTTGCTTTTGTCTTCAGAGTAATACTTCTGGACTTCTCTGAGTCCGATGCTAAAGCTTTCAATAACCACTGCTGCCACTCTCTGGTTTAGGGGTGAACTGCTTGTTGCCAAATGTTAAAGAATCCTTTAAGAAATTCCTCCATCTGGATTATGATGTGGATCATCACCAAAATTATTGGATTTTTTTACTTGGACTTAGGTGCACCGTTGTAAAAAAAATTCATTAAAATCTATTTTATAACTTTTCAAATGATCCTGTACAAAGAGAGACAGACTCTCTAAAAAAGCAACCTCCTTGCCAGAGGTAATAGCAACACAGAGGAATTACAATGGCTTCTAGCAGAGACTAGAGAATGTATCATCACTCAGACTTTTAGGGGGCTGGTGATGTTAAACTTATATCTACATCTATATAGAAATGGTTCAGCAAATGATTAATCAAGCTTCTTTTAGGTCTGTATATTACCAGATCTATATCATCAGGAAAACCTCCAGGATGAGTTAAAGTAAAGGATGGAATACATTCATTTGATATTAGATTATGCAACAACAATAAAATATTTATTTTTCTTAAGGCTTTCTTATTTTTCCCGCAGCATGTTTTATAGCTTGTTTTGACAACACAAGTAAAGGATTTAAGTGCCCTCACGTTGCTTTAGTCAGATTATGTAAACAACAGCTAGAGAATGTGGTTATAAAATAAAATCTTGATTTCTTAATACCTATTAAATGATCCCCACCCTTTAGTATTATGATAAACAAAAACAAAAAAACAAACAAAAAAATAAAATGACAAAAAAAATAGCTGTTATTTCAAACATTCCTTATGTGGGTTGAACTGAAGTCAAAGTCTAAATTAATCTAAGCTGCTTGTAAACCAGTCGGCTGACCCTGCTACTGTAAACAATGAAAAATATGACATGTAGCTTTTTACAGCTAGTGGTATTTTACAGAGACCTGTTAAGATTATAAATCTACGAACAAAAAGTGGCAAACTGATGATGACCCTAAACTATGGAAACCTAAGAAATGCATTTGAAAAAAAATATAAAATGCAGATATTCCAAATTTGTAATCTCAGCAAAAATTTTCCGTAATCGATATAATCAGTATATATTACCCAATCTTAGTATTAGAGTATTAATAACAAATATATGAAGACTTTTGCTTCTCCCTCTGTGTTTTTCTATGTTTTATGTTTTTTTTCTGCTGACTGATTCTCTGGAAGTCCCCAGGTCAAAGTCCAACCAGTAAGGTGAAATTAATTATTTTTTGGATAAGTCACAGTTGTTTAAAATCAAGCTCAAAGAGCATCTGCTAACTGTAGAACTGCATTTAGCATATATGATATACCGCATATACATTTCTTACATCAATGAAGAGCACCATGACTCAGTAATATTTTAAATTACTACTTTAAATAAAATCTGACTTGAAAGATTTGAATGAAAATACGGTTTTATACTGCACCAGAAACTTTTCAAATACAGATATTCAGCTCATTACTATAATCATTTACTTGCCAGTTTGCCAGTCAGCTGAAATGATGTATAAAAGTAACAGCTTAACATACTCTGGGAACTATCTGGGTGCAACTTGTTAACAAAACAGCAGGAATCGCTTCTCTGTCATTCGAGTTTCTAGTTTGTAAACATAAACTTGTGTTTGGAAAGCTGTTAAATGAATGCAGACATTTTAGCTGAGCAACGTTTTCTCTCCGTTTCATCATCATTGCATTTCCCTTCATTCAAAAATAAAGAAGATTTTGCTTTCTGCTATTTCTCTCCAGGATGTCTCAGTTCTTGCTTTCTTCTTAAGTGTGAGATGCCAATTGCAAGTCCTGCCCACATTACTACATCTGCACCGAGTTCTTTTAGCCTGAAGTTGCCCTACTTTTTAAATTAGTCAAAACATACACAGCAAGACGTCTCTGTGTTAGGGGAGTCTACTCTTTGGCTTTTTTTCTTTAATGATACCGTTGGGAAAAAGTCATTTAATCTTTTTAAAAATGGTTTTAATTCTTTTCTCATCTCTAGTCATACAGTGACACTCCTGTAAGGATGAAGCAACAAATCTACCAAATATCCATGAATCTGAAAATTATTCTAAAAACTATATCTAAATGGAGGATGTTTTTAAATAGGGAATATTTTATTCTAAATTTTATCTAAGTAAATAAAAGACATAACATTAGGAGACGGATTTACAGAGTAAACTCTACTTTATTATGAATAAGGAAAGGAGTCTCTTGCCATGTGAGTCAGCTGTGTAGGATGCAGGATTTCACCCCGCAACCCAAGAGTCTTTTTTTTATCTCCAGCTTGGATGCTTGTTTTGCCCTTGGGCAAGGCACGTCTCCATAATTGCCTACTGGAGGTGGTCAGAGAACGAAGGAGTGCCTGTGTATTACAGCTTTGCTAAAAAATGCTCTAAATTTATAAAAGCAGTTGGGACATATCCTGTCTTATAGCAGCATAAATGCATTTATAGCTCTGTTTCCATTTTGAAATTGGCTTCTCGATTCAAATTGTCATTTGACGTGTGTCAATTTCAGCTAATTTTTAAGCAACTTTCTGTAATATAACAAACAGATTCAGCCATCATGGGGATGACTTGGGGTTGGCATTTAAATACCCAACCTGAAAATCAGTGCCTTCTAATAAATGCTGCTGTTGCACAGAGGATTAGTTAGATCTTGAACAGGTAAAGCTAAATAGTGCCACTCTGCATTTGACAATCTAAACCAGCTGATAACCCATCAATCATCATGTTCCAGAAGGGCATCATGTATCATATTCTTCCATTGTTGATGTTTTCCAGCAAGACCGAAGCTGACTTGCTTGTACAATTACGCATGCCTTTCAGCAGCTATTTATGGACATGTGTGATTATCTGCATGTCGTCTGCCTGAATAACCATCACAGCTGATTTAATGTCAGAATAGAAGTTTACCTTTGAGAATAAACCTGGATTTTTATGCTCCTTGGCGCATAGAGCTATGTGTGTTTACATGACCTAGATGGAGGAATATTTACAGTTTAAAACCCAATGAGACTGTTTCCATCATTTTTTTTAGTGTATTAAGATTTTTTATGAAGATAAATTATTCACTCTCATTGTTCAAATTTAAACCATAAAAGTTCAAACTCATGAAAAAACATCAGATGTTATCCATACTATCCATATCAATCACTGTAAAAATGTCAGCAGCTGTATGATGGTTATTTATTCTCCAGGTGCTCCATTTCATGTTGTTAAAAATCTTTACAGTACAGTATTTTATTTGTTTATTTTTTAATTCTTCACTAGTATGTTATTCTTATACACTATATTGCCAAAAGTATTTGCTCACCCATCCAAATTATTGGAATCAGGTGTTCCAATCACTTCCATGGCCACAGGTGTATAAATTCAAGCACCTAGGCATGCAGACTGTTTTTACAAACATTTGTGAAAGAATGGGTCGCTCTCAGGAGCTCAGTGAATTCCAGCGTGGAACTGTGATAGGATGCCACCTGTGCAACAAATCCAGTCGTGAAATTTCCTCGCTCCTAAATATTCCACAGTCAACTGTCAGCTGTATTATAAGAAAATGGAAGTGTTTGGGAACGACAGCAACTCAGCCACGAAGTGGTAGGCCACGTAAACTGACGGAGCGGGGTCAGCGGATGCTGACGCGCATAGTGCGAAGAGGTCGCCAACTTTCTGCAGAGTCAATCACTACAGACCTCCAAACTTCATGTGGCCTTCAGATTAGCTCAAGAACAGTGCGCAGAGAGCTTCATGGAATGGGTTTCCATGGTCGAGCAGCTGCATCCAAGCCATACATCACCAAGT